TTCCCCTCAATACCTATATGGAGTAACGGAAAAATTTATTCCTGTGTTGAATAATTTCTTCGACCCAAATCTCTTCGCTTTCTTCCCTCCGGTCCCTTCCTTATCCCCCTCCATTGAGTGCTCATCGTTGATGAAAGCAGTGCAAAATGCATTCTTTTACTTGTAGTTATGCCTAAAGTAATGCATTCTTTTATTATTATTATTTTTTTTTAACTTTACTAACAATTAAAGGTAAGCATTTTTTTTTCTTTTTCCATTTTTCATTTTCTTTGTCGATGGGAGGTAAGCATTTTTCAATTTAGAATTTAATGAATTTAACAATGTCATGCCACATCAAGATCATGCTCAGCAGTGGAACCCACTCTAAAGAGCACTCCGTTACATTTTGATGGAATGTATTAGTTAATTACGGGTTGATATACCACCATTTAACGAATTTAAGGGGTCATTTTCTACTTATTTAAGGGTAGAAGCTTGCTTTTAGCCCATTTCTTGTTAAGTTAAAGGTTTTAACTCCTTATTTTATATTATAATATTTTTAACCCATCAACTTATTATATTTGTAGGTTTTAGTCTCTTACTTTATAATATGACATTTTTAACCCCTTATCTATTAAAATTGAATAGAATAGTCCTCACTTTGTAATATTTTGTTAGTTTTATTAACTAATTGTTAACTCTATTAACTGACTGTTAGTTTACTGTTAACTGACAAAAACCTTATTTCAACTAACATAGTTAATATAATTAATTTTATAATATTTTATTAATTTTGTTAACTAACTATTAGTTGATTGTTAGTTGACAAAAATCTATTTTTAGCTAACAAAGTTAACAGTCAATGTAAAATGAGAGTTATTTTCTTTGATTTTAATAGATAATGGGCTAAAACCTACAAATTTAAGTAAGGTAAGGGGTTAAAAGTGTAATAGTATAAAATAAGAAGATAAAACCTTCAAATTTAGTAAGGTGAGGGGCTCAAAGTAAGTTTTTGCTCTTATTTAAGCGGCTGATTTGCCAATAAAGCCATGTTTGTTTAGGGGGTTTATTTTATTATAAAAGTTTTTGTTTAAAAAATACTTTAAAAAGTATTATAGAAAAAGTTGAAAAATTTTGTAGTGAAATTTCATTATAATTTTGTTAAACTATTAGTTTTTTTGTATTCGATAACAAATTTGTCCTACACTAATATTACTGTTTACAAGTTGAAAATTATATAAGAAAAAATAAAGGTTAAAAATGTTAATTTTATTCTCTTTTTGTTATAATATTAATTTATAAAAATATATAAATAACTTTATAATAAATAAAGTTTAATTAGAAAAAAATTTAATGAAAGTTTCCCCTAATCAAACAG